TGAACTTAGGGTTTTCTTCAAGAAATATTGTAACTTTTTTACTTTTTAAGGTATCTACTTCAAACTTTAAATATATATTTCTTATCATTACACACATGTTGTGTGACTAGGTTCATAACTCTAGCTTGACTATTTCCAAATTTTATTCCCCCTTGAACTTGAAATTTATGTTAACAAATGTTATTTTTTCACTTTTAACTTAATACATTTTTATACATAATTGATTTTTCTTTCATAGTTTTGTTTTCCTTACTGTGTCCAGTATTTTATTAGTCTAGCTTCGCGGACTCCTGTGACAGCTCTTGTTACATTTTGAACTTTGTTAATGGGATATAACTCTGAAACTATAGAGATATCAACATGTATCTTTGTAGGTAGATATATCTCATTAAATAGAAGTGCAGTGCAAATAAACCCTAACTCTGCCTTGCCTAATTTTGGAGTAATTGCCCTTTGTTCATTTTACACTTTAAACATTGTCCAACACATAGCTCTGAACGTATAAGAGATATGAACAAGACACTTTGTAGGTAGATAGATCTCATTTGGTAGATTTGCAGTACAAATGAACAATAACTTTGCCTTGCCTAATTTTGGAGTTATTGTCCTTTCTTCATTTTTACACTTTGAACTTTGTCCAGGACATAACTCTGACACTAAAAGAGATATGAACAAGAAACTTTGTTGGTAGATAGATCTCATTGAGTAGATTTGCACTAGATCTCATTGGGTGGATGAGCTGTGAAAAAGAACTGTGACTTTCCCTTGCCTAATTTTGGAATTATTGAACTTTGTCCAGGAAATAAATCTGAAACTACAAGATGAATACTTTTTTGTGTTCAAAACCTATTCTGGGTGCATCACCCGGTTAAACCGGCTTGGATTGTCTTCATACTTCATACATTGTCATTTATGAATAGATTGTATTCATACTTGGATACAATTATTCTTCTGACAAGGCCTTTAAGTTGACTTGATATATTATGACCTTCATTCATCAGTGACCTTGACCTTGAAGGTCAAATAAATGATTTTGTTTGATTTTTTCTATAATTGGCTTTAACTTTGCAAGTTATGAATGGATTGTCTTCATACTTGAGCACCGTCTTAAAATAGATCAAACCTTATTTGACCTTGACTCATAAATGACCTTGACCTTGAAGGTCAAGTTATTGTAATTTCACAGTTATGCTATAATTGGCTTTAAATTTTTAAGAAATAAATTGATAGTCTTAGTAAGGGCAATACAACCTTTAGGGCAATACATAAAATAATATTTAATTAAACCCGGCCTTGATATGTCACTAAAGGTTAAAATCGTGAATTTCACTTGTTATTTATGGATTTGATTTATCCTGTGGCAAAAGAGCACTTATAACAAAACTGACATAAAAAGTAATTAAAATCTGACATTGACCTTAATATGACCTTGGCTGTCAAGGTCAAATATTGAATTAAGCTTAAGTTTTCATAACTTTGTTTTTAGCTCACCTGTCACAAAGTGACAGGGTGAGCTTTTGTGATCGCTTTTCGTCCGTCCGTCCGTCCGTCATCCGTAAACTTTTACTTTAAATGACATCTCCTCATAAACCGCTGAGCCAATTTCATCCAAACTTCACAGGAATGTTCCTTTGGTGGTCACCTTTAAAAATTGTTCAAAGAATTTAATTCCATGCAGAACTCTGGTTGCCATGGCAACCGATAGAAAAAACTTAAAATATCTTCTTTTAAAAAACCCAAAGAGGTAGAGCTTAGATATTTGGCATAAAACATCTTCTAATGAGTGTCTATCAAGTTTGTTCAAATAAAAGCCCTGGGGTCAAAATTGGCCCCGCCCCGGGGGTCATTGATTTTCCCTATATGCATATAGTAAAAACTTAAAAAATCTTCTTTTAAAGAACCCAAAGAGCTAGAGCTAAGATATTTAGCATGAACCATGTTCTAATGGGTGTCTACCGAGTTTGTTCAAATAAAAGCCCTGGGGTCAAAATTGGCCCCGCCCCAGGGGGTCATTGATTTTCCCTATATGCATATAGTAAAAACTTATAAAATCTTCTTTTAAAGAACTCAAAGAGCTAGAGCTAAGATATTTAGCATGAAACATCTTCTAATAGGTGTCTATCAAGTTTGTTCAAATAAAAGCCCTTGGGTCAAAATTGGCCCCGCCCCAGGGGGTCATTGATTTTCCCTATATGCATATAGTAAAAACTTATAAAATCTTCTTTTAAAGAACCAAAAGAGCTAGAGCTAAGATATTTAGCACAAATCATGTTCTAATGGGTGTTTACCAAATTTGTTCAAATGAGAGCCCTGGGGTCAAAATTTGCCCTGCCCCTGGGGTCATTGATTTTCAATTTATGTGTAAAATTAAAAATTCTTTGAAAAAAAAAACAAATAGAGGTTAGATATTAAGCATGAAACATCTTCTAGTGAGAGTCTACAAAGTTTTTTCAAATAAAAGCCCTTGGGTCAAAATTGGCCCTGCCCCGGGGGTCATTGATTTTATTTCTGTGTATAGCAAAACTCTTCTTTGAAAAAACCCAAATAGCTATAGTTTAGATATTTAGCATAAAACATCTTCCAGTTAGTGTCTTCAAAGTTTGTTCAAATAAAGCCCTAGGGTCAAAATTGGCCCTGCCCTGGGGACATTGATTTTCCTTATATGTGTATAGCAAAAACTTAAAAATCTTCTTAAAAAAAACAACAGAATAGCTAGAGTTTAGATATTAAGCATGAAACATCTTTTAGTGAGGGTCTCCAAAGTTTGTTCAAATAAAAGCCCTGGGGTCAAAACTGGCCCCGCCCTAGGGGTGTCATTGCTTTTAACTATATGTGTATAGTTAAAACTTAAAAAATCTTTTTTTTTAAAAACTCAACGAGCTTCTAATGGGTGTCTACCTAGTTTGTTCAAATAAAAGCCCTGGGGTTAAACTGGACCCGCCCTGGGGGCCTATATACAGGTGAGCGACTTCAGGGCCATCATGGCCCTCTTGTTTATTTACATATTGGATATATACTTGGACAAAAGAATCCTTATGACAAAACCGACAATTTGAATTTGTTATGACAGTGACCTTAAATTGACTGTGACCGTCAAGGTCAATTAGTGAAATTTGCTTAAATTATTATAACTTTCTAAAGTATCTATTTACGGATTTGACATAAAAAGAAAAAAAACATAAATTAGCAAAACTGACATGTTGACTTGTTCCGATATGACTTTGACCTTTCTGTTGAGGTTGACTGTTAATGTTCAATTTTTGAGATTTGCTTAAATTGTCAAAACTGTTTTTTTTTTCGGATTTGATTTATACTAATGGACAAAAGAACACTATCATATGACTAAACGGACATGTTGAATTATTCTGAAATGACCTTGAACTTATTGACCTTCAAGGTCCAATTATTGAACTTTACTAAAAATGTTACAACTTGTTTATTTATTTACAGATTTTATTTATACTTGGGCAAAATAACACATATAACAAAGCCAACATGTTGAATTATTCTGATAAGACTGATATGACCCTGACCTTTAATTGACGTTCATGGCCAAATTATTAAAGTTCACATAAATTATAACTTTGTAATTTATCTATTGATTTAGATCATTCTTGGACAAAAGAACACTTATTTCAAAACTGGAAGTGTTGATCAATTCAAAGGTCAAATATAGAATTTGAATTATAATTTATTCAAGATATTGAGGAGTATTCTTTACTGCAATATTCTTTCTGCAATGTGTTTGACTTTTGAAGTAATAAAAAGTCGAGCGTGGCCCCAGCCTTGTTTGTTTCTAATGTAAATTTCTCAAAAACTGTCAAAGTAAATCACTTCAAACTTGTTCAATTTTCAAATTTTAATGGTAACTAAATCAGTTTTAGCTCACCTGAGCCCAAAGTGCTCACAGATGAGCTTTTATGATGACAGCGTAGCTATCCTCGTTCACTGTTGTCTACAATTTCTTTAAATAACATCTCTTTCTTAACCACTTGATGGACCATACTTAACAGGAATGATTTTCTAGTGGTCTAAAAAGTTATTTGATTAGTTCCAGTTTGATGCATAAGAAGGTCATAAATAGACTTTAAAACCAAGTTCTTTAAAAACTTTTCAGAAATTGAAATAACGAGAGTCTAGATATTTGGCATGTATCATTAGTTTATGGTCCTCTACAAAAGTCTATAAATCATGCCCCTTGGGTCAAAATGGTCTTACCCTAGGGGTCACTTTGTTAACATAGGCTTATATAGGAACATACATTTAAGTCTTCTGTTATAAAACTGATATGCCTAGAGCTTAGATATGTGGCACGTAGCATTGTCAATTGGACCTATACAAAAGTTATTTAAATTTATGCCCTTTTAGTTTATAATTATAGACTTATATGAAGTCTTCTTTGTGAAACTACAATATTAAGAGCTTAAATATTAGTATTTCCTAGTGAACCTCTGCAAAAATTATACGAGTTATGCCACTTAGGTCAAAAATGGCCACGCCCTGGTGGGTCACTTATCTTACATCTACTTGTAAAGTAAAAATATCTCACATATCTTTTCCTCTGAAACGACGATTCCCAGAGCATAGATATTTTGCTTGGAGCATTACCTTGTGGTCTTCTGCAAAAGTTTTATAGATTCTGCCATGAGTGTAGCAGCGTGGGAAAAAATCAGGTTTTCAGTTGAGTGATCCAGGGCCATCGTGCCCTCTTGTTTTCCCAGTAATGCCCCCTTTAATCTGAGATGTCAAAATTGGCCCCTGCCCAGGGTAAAATGTTTTTCTTACATGTATATGTATACAGTAAACTTTTAAAAAATATTTTTCTTTGAAACTAGGAGGGCTAAAAGCTCAGATATTAAGCATGAAAGATTGTCTAGCGAATATCTATTAAGGTCAAAATTTGCTCTGCCGCAGGAGGTCATTGCTTTTCTTCAAATAATTCCCTCTTCTATAACATAGTCCAGCTGATGAGTTAAATAAAGGAAGGAAGTTTATATTAGTTAAAATATTATACCTTGTCTTTAAGTATAGTTACGTTTATTAGTACCTATTTACAAAATTAAATTGGTCAGGCGCTGCGCATTTATAATGAAGGGAAATGGGTTGTTTTATCAAATATTATATAGACATGAACTAGCTGTCAAAAACATAACATCAAATATAATGTGCATTGAAATGTGTACAGACTGTTTGGTCTGTGTGATTCGCTGAAATATTCTTATTTTTTAACTGTTTTTGTTATTGCATACTTTTAAATCACATAATTCTACACCGGTCTTGAATCTTTGATTGTTTTCTATTGTCTGGTCTCCTTCCATTCCATACACCCAAGTCTCTTACTTCTGACAGTATAAAATCTTCTACTTCCAGGCCGTAAAACACCTCAATGTCTTCCAGGGATAGTTTTGATACACTCACTGGATGGGTTTCTTTTGCTATAGCTCTCTTAACATGATCTGTAATCTCCGTGCAATCAAGTGGTCCGCCGAGGTAGTTCCGTGTTGCTAGTTCTAAATTGCACTCGGGAAGAGCTTCAAGTACATATACATATAAATGAAAAGTAGGAAAACGTGGGCTTTATTATGATTCCATAGTTCAGCAATATAATATTTAAATTAAATGGACAAAGACCTATATCTTTATTAAACAAGTTAACATTAGCTGGAATTTCTAGCCAAACGGAAATATAAGAATGTCAACGTTAATTTCCTAGTTAAATGGAAAAATTATGTCAATCTTTTATCCAAACCAAGGAAATTAAAACACATATATATTGCTATCAAACTGACCTTTTATATGATTGAGCAAATGGTAAGTTGGTATGACAGACTGAGGATCGAGCAAGTGAAGTTTAACAAATAGAGCATTCATCTCAGTGTTATAACCTTCCTCTGTCACTTGGCCACGGATTATTTTCTCTACCCACTGCATCGTCCATGATGGTTCTGTCATGCGCTCGATAATTCGCTCCGCCCACTCAGGACTGACAATACAAAAAGTAAAAAATGTATGAATTTATTAATTTAGTAGTAACGTTTATAAAATGCACATTCACTATAATCGTTATGTGACGAATCGTTAATATGGCGAATCGTTACATTACCCACTATACATCATATCTGTATTGTGTTCCTATTCAATGTGATTCACATTAATAAATTATTTCTTTAACTAATTATTGCATTCATTCATTAACATAAAAAATCTAACATATATAGTATGTATGTTTGTAGTCATATAAGTATATACCTAATAAAAATATGAAATAGAAGCACAAAATGTAACTAAAATATTATATGAGAACATAGACCTTCTTCGTGAGAAATGTTAAATAGATGATTATGCATTGACATGGCATAACATATCTTATACATGACAAACTTTTCCGAAATTAAGAACTTAGAAAGTACTAAATTTTTATAGAGGATTAAAAAAATATAAACATACAAATTAAAGTTATAGAAGTATGAAAGACATAATATCAAAACACCAACATATTCTAACTACAAGTCTAATACTGTGTCAAAAAGATCTTAGCTATATTTGACCCCTGTGACTTTGACCCTTTGAATTTTAGCACCAGAACCCCTGACCCTGGGGCCACGAATTAAAAAATTTTGGTAGAGGGCTCAGTGCTTATAACAATCATGCCGACAGTTTGAATTTCACAATTTTTGTAGATGCTTTATGCCAAAATTGGCATGTAATATGCAACTGGTTATAAGAAACAATTGAACAGAAAATTATTTTTATGAAAAGGCGGGCTCAGTTTAACAGCTTTTCCCTTATTTTCGCTTTATTGGTAATACTTTTTATCTTTACTTAAATTTTACTGTCGATTGAATGGGAAATCCTATTTTCAAAAGTACAGGAATAAAGCCATGTGCGAAAACCCATTACCAGGGAAACAGTTGAATGAAAATCATCTGGTCTGATAGTGAAGTGGTTATGGTGCTTGTTTTGCATGCGGGAGGTCGTAAGTTCAAATCCCATAAGGGGGTTATACCTTTTGTATTTTCTTATTTACTTTTTTCTTATTATTTTATTTACATGTATATTTTTTTCATGTTTTTATTCACGAGAATGCTTTAGTTACAATTCAATTCAATTCAAACAATGCCTTCAACCTCCGTGGCACTCTCAATCGCGCGGTCGCTGGCGTGTTTGGTTCCAGTGCGAAGTGAGTACCTCAATATGACTGTTATTACCACGGAAAAAAGAATGGCGAGGTTTTCATCAAGTGCCTTAATCAAAAGCTAATCCCTAATCTTCCAGCTCACACTGTAGTGCTAATAGTCAATGCACCTTATAACACTTTTGCGATGACAAGTTTCTAACGAAATCAAGTAGAAAAAAGTGTGATGACGTCCCTCTAACAGCGCCAAAACACCCATCTCATCCAAACAGCTCAGGACTCGCGTGTTCGCAATATATAGATAATTTTCGTTGCAAGCCATTATGTCACTTGTAGCACAAATGCTCGATTTAATTGTATTAAACATGATATTTCATAATCTCGTATTTGGCTGAAATGATCGATTCTTATTATAACTTTTACTTATAAGATACTATTATTTTTGTCTTTTCAAAACAGTAGTAGTTTTCTTAAAATATCGAATGAGAGTTTTTTTTATATGCATGAGAAGTACCTACGGAAGCGTCCTGGTGCCAATTTAACATGTTCTATAAAAAAAGATAACTCCTACGTAGGACTTTGCAACTCCTACGTAGGACTTTATAACTCCTACGTAGGAGATAAAAAAGCCTAATTAGGAGTTTCTAACTCCTACGTAGGACTTCATAAGTGTTCCTCTACGTAGGAGTTTTAAAGGCCTACGTAGGAGTTATAAACTCCTAATTAGGCTTTTTAATCTCCTACGTAGGAGTTATAAAGTCCTACGTAGGACTTTTTAAGTCCTATGTAGGAGTTATTAAGTCCTACGTAGGACTTATAAAGTCCTACGTAGGAGTTATAAACTCCTTATTAGGCTTTTTTAACTCCTGCGTAGGAGTTATAAAGTCCTACGTAGGAGTTTGTAAGTCCTACATAGGACTTAAAACTCCTAATTAGATTTTTATATCTCCTACGTAGGAGTTATAAAGTCCTACGTAGGACTTGCAAACTCCTACGTAGGAGTTATAAATTCCTAATTAGGCTTTTTTTATCTCCTACGTAGGAGTTATTAATTAAGTCCTACGTAGGAGTTGCCAAGTCCTACGTAGGAGTTATCTTTTTTTATAGAACATGTTAAATTGGCACTAGGACGCTTCCTTAAGTACCCGTGCATTGAAAAAAAAATATTTAAAAAAAATGGAAATGCTGGGATTTGAACCACACCAGTATACTAGTAGTTGATAGAGCAGCGCGCTACCACTACACTACAATGTTTTACTGCAAATATAATGCCCAATAAGTATTACAATACTATCCATACACACATGACTTACCTTTTCTGAAGTGCACTGACAACGGTTCCGAAATAAATAAACTTCAACAGTAGTTGAAATTGAACAATATGGTTTCCTATTTTTGTTTACTTAGCAAGTCATATTTTTATTCTTTTTATGTGATATTAGTTGATTTTTGGCCGTTATTTTCTGTTCAATTGTTTGTTATAACCGGCCTTAGTTTAATAAAAGCTGAAAAACTGGAGATATGCATGAACATATTAACAATATAAGACAATATGCTTTGTTTCTTGGTCACAATGACCTGCTCGATAGTATTATGAGCGTAGATCACATTTTTACACAAATTTCTACTAAAAAAAACAAAAACAAGCACATATTGATGACTTAAAAATGTAATTATGAGACTGTAATACATACATAATATTGTATAGTTTTTATACGCCCGTTTGAAAAACATGTCGTTTTATAGTTCCCCCCTCGCGGGCGGGCGGCTTCCAATTTTTGTCCGGAGCATATCTCCTACACCCATGGAGGAATTTTAATGAAACTTCATACAAATGTTCACCACTATGAGAAGCCGTGTCGCGCGCATGAACCAGACCTCTATTTCAAAGGTCAAGGTCACACTTAGAGGTCATTGAAAAACGTGTCCGGAGCAAAACTTCTACATGCATAAAGCGACTTCAATATAACTTGGCACAAATGTTAACTATTGTGAGGCGGAATGTCGCGTGCATGAACCAGGTCTCTTGGTCAAAAGTAACACTAAGAGGTCATGTACGGAACAAAATTTCTACATGCATAGAGGGATTTCAATATAAGTTGGCACAAATGTTCACTATTGCGCAAAATTTAGGTCCCTGTGGCTAAGGTCAAGGTCACACATAGGGGTAAAAGTTCAGATAAAAAAAATCACTAGAGATGATAATATATCCAGATATTTTCCAATGCTCACATCTCTGTCAAAAGCTTCTGTGACGGGCGTTATATTGCGACAATGTTGCCCTTGTTGCTATTATAAAAGATGTCATTATATCTATGACTTGTAATTTAAAAATGAAACACTTTATTCAATCTCGAATTTTCCAGAATTCTTTAAAAAAAAAATAATAAAATAAAATGAAAAAAATAAATAAAATATTTTATAAACGTCATTTTTTTGAAGAAGGCTAAACGTCGAAAGCTTAAGAAAAACGTTTGTTTTCATTGAACTAATTATATACCAGAATTCTATTGAGAGACTACTTTATTAAGAGACCACTTTTTGGCAGTCCCTTGAGTGGTCTGTTAATACAAAGTCATTGTCGACTGTATCACAATGCACATGCTTTTCAGATATAGTTGTTAAATACAAATATATAAACATTTTTGTTAACTTGATTTTCAAAAATCAAAATAAAACTAATTAACACAACATGACATAAACTGTTAATAATAACCATAGTACAAAAATACATATCATATTCCAAGCGTCAGACACACAGTCGTGAATTATAGCTTATCGCCACTCAACCGCCGGTAATGCCTGGTGGAAATCATTCATGTTATAACATTTTCATACAACGTGCTTTTCATAGTGTTTATATGCTTGCAAACAACAATTTTTATTGGCGAAGAAAAACAAAATAGATATTGTTACAGTCCGTTGTCGTTCGCAAACTTTAACCTTGATCATAACTTTTTAAGTTGTTGTTGTATTGTCCTTATACTTAGCAACAAGAAACTTGGTGTAGACCAGACTTAACTTGACCTTTGGCCTTCAACGTAAAATGTCTAAAACTTCCTTGGTTTTGTGGCTGTAACTTTGTTATTTATTTTTGAATGGATACTTTTAAATTTGAACACAACCATCTTTAAAGATATACCTTCAAGTTAATCAGACAGATTGACATTCACTCTAAAATAACCTTGACCATGAAGGTCAAACTACTGAAATGTTCTATTTTTAGCTGTAACTGGCTATAATTTTGTTTTTAATGAATGTGTTGTCTTCATATTAAGAGACAGTATTTTTAAAGATTTTCATGTAAATGACATTGACCTCGAAGGTTAAATTTTTGAATTTTCACTGATTTTTGCTATAATTGACTGTAATTTAGTAATCAATAAATTGATTATCTTTATACAATAACCTTTTTGGACAAGACCTTTTAGAGGTTGAACTGACCTTGACCATGAGCTTTAAATGACCTTGACCGTGAAGGTCAAATTATGAATTTTGGTTAAATTGTCATAATTTTATTATTTATGTACGGCTTTGATTTATTTTTGGACAAAGCAAGACTTGTTATTTATAAATGAATTAACTTCATATTTAGAAACAAGATCTTTTAGATCAGACTTTTCTATTTGAACCTGATACATGTATGACCTTGACCTTTAAGGCCAGACTATTAAATTTTCACTGATTATTGCTATATTTGTATGTAACTTGATAATTAATCAATGGATAATCTTCATGTTTTGACAAAACAATATATTGAACAAGACCTTCTAAAAGGTTGTACTGACCTTGACATTCAAATGAGCTTGACCATCATGATCAGATGACTGAATTTTGCTTATATTTTCTTAACTTTGTCATTTATTTATGGAAATGATTCAAACTTGGACAAAAGAACAAGTGTGACTAGACAGGCCTATTAAAATTATAAAAGAAAACCTTATTTTTTCTTTAAATTTCTTTTTAAAGATTTGTTTGAATCGTTTATTTGTTTGCTTTTATAAAAAGTTGAGCGTTGTCCCCGCCCGGCGGGGAATCTGAATATGAAACAATATCTTTAGCAGAAAACGATATGGGACCAACTCTTGTGTGTCTGCATTTCAAAAAGATAAAATACGCGTTGGCTTATTTCTTTGCTTACAAATATCAATGTTAAAATCACCTAGAAGAACGTTTTACTTACCCGTTGTCATCTATAAAATCTTGTAGGTTAATGTTCAACTTATCATCTCTCACCACGCTCGGATATAACTTTGTATATAATGAAAATCCTGAAAATATTGCAATACATAAATGCAGAAAAGTCAGTTTCATGTGTTTCATGGTTTCTTCCTATATTTAAAAACTTCAATGTACTTTTTATAAAGTGTTATGAGATAAGATTATTGAGCTGAAGATGCTCCAAAATGCATTTTGTAAATACATTGTAGGCGTTTTGTATCGGTTATTACCTAGTTTCTTCCAGTGTACACTTTGATAAACCTCTTCTAGAACAGTTGCCAAATTGTTCCTTTCAATCGTACAGTGAAACTTTAACTCGTCGTTACAGGTCGAGATAGCTTCTGCAACCATAGCAACCGCGAGCTTCTCTATTGGAAAGCCTTGGAAATCCTCCTCAGAGATTCGAATGTCTTTTACGGTATCCGAGAAATAAAGTTTGTGCACACTTTTGTCCGTTCGGATTCTATTAAGCAGAATTCCACGTGCTGCATCTGAAACTAAATCGTTTCCTTTACTGAAGGGAGTAAGATATTGTAATGTTTCGAGTGTCAATCGTGTTTGTTTTAGTTTTGGTGATGATGAAAATAACCGAAATCCTTTCTTTTCACATTTTTTAACTGTCGGCCTTTTAACTGTCTTAAATGAAGAGACTCTCGTAACTTCGTTGGTCTGCATTTTCATTGTTCCAATTCTTTATCATATAGGGACAAAAATGATGTCGTTTTTTCCTAAAATAACAATTTAATTTAGATAATGCTATCTGCTTAAAATCGAAGTAAATAACAAATAAAAAAACTTTCTTAAAGACACTAACATATTTTAAATAAGCAAAAAGCATTCCAAATAATTTCATCCCGGTCTCAATTACACAAATCTGACTGTCAAACAAATATATATAATATGTATATAAATAATCATTTTGACATGAACACATTTTGCAAGACATATTTGTCAACAAATATTTCATGTAAAAACATTAACATTACATTCTTAATTTATTTTATAACCGTCCAATAACATCAACCAAATATTGATATATTTACAAAGTTGTCTTTACCGTGGGTAGGCAACTTTGGTCACGTGACCTCAAAAGTCAACGTACACGGCCAAAATAACTCGGCTGAGGTAAGTTTTAAGCGATTGTTTTTCTATTGAGCCGATTTAAATAATGCTACATAGCCTACCGACCGCGGCATTTCCGATGCTTTGGTGTCGTCGAACGTTTTTTATTTTCAGAGAACATTTAAACAATATTTACAAATTTGTCCATGACAACGTACACACTCTTGTGTAAAAATGTTGCTAATAACTTTATAAAAACGATACGCATGTCAGTGCTAAGTATAGGTTAGTGTTTAATAATATGCATTAACAAAAATAATTGGTCAAGCCTGCCGCAGGCAGGCGACCAATTATTTTTGTTAATGCATATTATTAAACATTAACCTATTTAATGATCAACATTATTTTTTTTACCAAAAACAAGACATTTCTCTAAATCACGATAGCTCCGCCCTTTCGCTCTACAAGATGTCTACACCTTGTCAAGTTTCTAACATGTCACAGCTAAATAAGTGACCTTTTCAACATATAATCAGGCACAATTCGTACTGAAATGTCACAGAATTTATACCTTTATCTACAGTAAGACTATCTAATTTCTATAAAATATCTGGAAAAAAACAGTGAGGAAAACGATGCAATTAGGTAAAAAAACAATTGAGTTAATGACATGAGTTCATCCTTTTAAAATAAATGGAAAATGTGAGAAAAATACATTAGAGATTATTAATTGATACAAATCCGTTATTAGCTTCAAGTTATTCACTAACATTTAAAATCCCTATTGATCTGCTCATTTGAAAAACAGTTCTTTTCTTTCAGTGTGGAGGGGGTCCTTTAAAATGAGTTTTCCAGCCAAAAAATGTAATAATTGTATTCTTGATAATGCAGTTCATTCCTATCAGGTGAAAGAAAATAATGATTCGTTTACTTTTTCTAGAAAATATAAAGTTTAAAACAGTCAGCAATTTATAACAGACATTTTTCTTAGAGTTAAAAGGATTTAAAAAAGTTACGTTGTAATCGTTTGTCTCTGCGTGCCCCTCATGTATTATATATGTAATAAATCAATTTGATTGTATCCTCACATTTAGAAACACCTGACTTCGACTAATTTTTTTTATGTTGGCATTGTTTTGCTAACCTTTATATTTTACAATTCAGAGTGTAAACCATACCTCTTAACTCCTCCCTAATATAATGCATTACTGAAATTTGTTAGACTGGTTAGACGACAGATTAAGTGAATTTTATTTAGTTAGTACACATTAACCAAAGTTAGACTTAGCAGAAATTTGAAAAATACTACAATGTGATTGGACAAAAAATAATGTTGATCATTAAGTAAAATTTCACGTTTTGAAATGTACATAATGATGTTTAAATGTCATTTTTTGTATTTACAATGTATTTAAATTTTGTCCAACTTACAGAAATGTCAACGTACACGTACAGTATAGAAAATGTCAACATACACACGATAATGGTCTGAACATGAAGTAATTGGCTTTTTCCAACAAAAAGTTGGCTCTCTATTAGATTGCCCTCTCAGATTGGTACAAAGGAACAGTTTCGAGCACAGGCACGAGTATCGGACCTGGGAAGAAAAAATATGACCAGATTGATAATAAAACCTGTGTTCATCTTAAAAGTGTCAAAAACCAAAAAAAAAAATGTAAATAATGACCTCCTTTAAAAATATACTACATGTATAAGTTAAGAGAAGGCCGGAAACTCCAGATTCGAGCCTACGAGCAAGTGATTCATTTCCTTTATCACTATTTCACGTTTGTATTAAGCTTCAAAATGAGACCAACCCCAAGTCTCTAGCCCTTCCCGTTCATGAAATATCTATCGGGAAACGAGCGAATTCGTGCTAAAAATCCTATATGTCTTTTACATAATTTTGTGATACCCCGGTATATTATGTTCTTTGCAACCACAGGCAATCGGTGCGTGGCTTGGATAGTATACATGTACATGACCACGCCCACTTAATTTTTGATAAATATTTTTTTTTCACTAATAAAATGTTTTTAAAATATCTTATTTTCAATAAATCAACAAAGAAAATTTGTTTTTAAGATATTTTAAAAACATTTTGAATGAAAAAATATTTTATGAGTGAAAAAAAAAATATTTATCAAAAATTAAGTGGGCGTGGTCATGCACATGTATACTATCCAAACCACGCACCGATTGCCTGTGTTTGCAACTAGTGAGTAGGTCACGACGGATCCATTTTACAAGAAAGGTTATCTACGTTTATGTTCATTAGTTTTTTAGCTCGACTTTAAATAAATACGGCGTCGTTGCCGTTGCTATCCTCAAACTACTAAACTACTAACACTAGATCATAACTTTGTGTTCTTTGTGTATTGTCTTCATACTTGGCCACATCATTAGCACAAGACCTTCAAGTACACCAGACGGGTGAGTCATGGTTGCCGTGTGTCAGTCCTTATGTGACACTCAGTGTTAGTGTCGTGCGTGTCAGTCAGTAGTGTCCTGTGTGTGTGTGTGTGTGTGTGTGCGTGCGTGCGTGCGTGCGTGTGTGTGTGTGTGTGTGTGTGTGTGTGTGTGTGTGTGTGTGTGTGTGTCCGTAGTGTCATGTGTGACCGTAGTGTCGTGCGTGTGATAAGTGTCCTGTGTATCAGTGAGTAGTGTCTTGTGTGTCCGTAGTGCTGTGCGTGTGAGTAGTGTCCTGTGTGTCCGTAATGCTGTGCATGTGAGTAGTGTCCTGTGTGTGTGTGTGTGTGTGTGTGTGTGTGTGTGTGTGTGTGTGTGTGTGTGTGTGTGTGTGTGTGTGTGTGTGTGTGTGTCCGTAGTGGCATGTGTGTCAGTGAGTGAGTAGTGTCTTGTGTGACCGTAGTTTCGTGAGTGTGAGAAGTGACCTGTGTATCAGTGAGTAGTGTCTTGTGTGACCGTAGTGTCGTGCGTGTGATAAGTGTCCTGTGTATCAGTGAGTAGTGTTCTGTGTGTCAGTTGTGCTGTGCATGTGAGTAGTGTCCGTAGTGCCGTGCGCGTGAGTAGTGTCTTGTGTGACCGTAGTGTCGTGCGTGTGAGAAGTGTCCTGTGTATCAGTGGGTGAGTAGTGTCCTGTGTGTTCGTAGTGTCGTGCGTGAGAGAAGTGTCCTGTGTATCAGTGAGTGAGTAGTGTCCTGTGTGTCCGTTGTGCCGTGCGTGTGAGTAGTGTCTTGTGTGACCGTAGTGTCGTGCGTGTGAGAAGTGTCCTGTGCCAGTGAGCAGAGACATGTGTGACACCAGTGTGTAGAGCTATGTGTGTCAGTGAGTAGTGTCTTGTGTGTCAGTAAGTAGTGCATTGTGTGTCCGTATTATCGTGCGTGCGAGTGAGTCCTGTGTGTTAGTCTTGTGTGACCGTAGTTATGTGCATGTGTTGTGATTCTGTGTTAGGTTAGTGTCCTGTGTGTTCATAGTATAGTGCGCGGTGTTCTGTAAGTTGGACATTTCTGTAAGGACAAGAAGTGAATAGTGTCCTTTGTGTTAGGTCAGTGTTTTAGTAGTGTCCTGTGTGTCAGTGTATGAATAGTGTCCTGTGTGTCAGATCAGTGTGTGAGTAGTTTTTGTTAATTAATTTTTTTAGTATTTAGAATTTTTAGTGGAGAAGCGGGGGATCGAACTCGCAACCCCTAGACTTGTAGTCAGACAGTGTTACCACTGCACCACAGCGCCCGCTCTGATTTATAACTATTTTGGAAGTTCCTTTATACATTATCACATTAGTACACTAGTCTTGAAACTGAGTAAATGCAATTGAATTTTCACACCTAAATAGTTAATAAACCTGTTAGGTCTAAAGTGTTTTATAATGGCTGACATTCTTATCCTTGCTTAAGGGGTTATGATAAGGGACTTCACACAAACAAGTAGTAAAAGGAAAAGAGTAACACTGTTGACAGGCAATAAAAAAACATATCAGAAAAAGTCATGTTCCGTTAAATATGATCAGCCGATATCAATACTTATTGTTATGATAAATGATGGATTGAAATATTTGAGGTGGAGTTCAAGATGGCGGTCGATACTTTGGTTGATGCTTAACTGATAAAAGTTTCATTTTACCACTTGAAATATCTAAAAATTGTGTTCATATAACAAAGTACCCTTGTACATAAATTGTGGATGTATTCCTCACATTAAATGATGCCACGAAAAAATACCCCGTTCTGTTAGCTAAAAGCATGGCTTTAATTAAAGATGTACATTCTTTTAAAATAAATGGAAAATTTGAGAAAATATATTTTGAGCTTAATAATTGATACAAATTCCTTATGTGATGAAAGTTCTTCAAGACCATTTAAATCCCTATTGATTTTACTATAATTCAGGGCACATGTTTTGCGTCTATTTAATACCTTGAATTTTGTTTACCATTGGATTTGACTACAATATATTATTTAAAACAAAATGAAAATTAATTTTTATGACCCCAAAGTGCGGTCGTTTGTCTGATGTTAAAAAGTGCATATGTACCTGTTTAACGCACTTTGGGGTCTGGGGTCGGACCCCAAAGTACGTAACGCACTTTGGGGTCGGACCCCAAAGTGCGTTTGACCCCAAAGTGCAGTGTTACAGTGCATTGCAATTTAGAGTTAAGGGTTTAGCATATAGTACCTCAGTGAAGCGGGTTGGTACATAATACGCTGACTCCCGTCAGAAACATTGACTAAATCGTGACTCGTTACGACGTTATTCCAACGATCCACGCGGCGATGGCTACGAGCCGAAAGAAGACATTTTTCACGTTGAAGTCTGTTTAGAATAATAGACGTCTGTTTAGAATGACACCGCGGTATGGTCTACGACATTATTTGCCTTGCGACGGCTTGCAGCCTCGCACGATAACTGATCACTAAACAAGTTCATTACTGTCACAGAAATGATGTAAACCACGTGCTGCACGTGGTTTGTTTTATGCTTTGATGACGCATGTTTGATTTTATGATAACACTCGGTACAATATGTATAGCTCGATATAGAAACAATGCGAGCTTTATACGTTAAATATCTCCGGTGTGCTATATTTGACACGATCTATTTTTTATAAACCATTAAAATAGTCACTAAATTACATGTAATTGTTTTATAGTAGGTTAAACTAAAACGTGCAAAGTTGCAGTCATAAATAATCCATAAAATTAAGAACAATATAACATACCAATGTATGTATCCAGTGCTTTTCTTGCGTTAATTACTGTATAAATTCTCACACACACTATATTTCTCATATTTTGTTCAGAAAGCAATCGTCACTAATTTACCAACGTAACAAAGAAAATTGACACTAAATTGCAACAAAATGAGTAATTTCATCTCGTTTAACGTATTCTAATATTCCAGAATGCAACATATGTTGAGATAAACAACTGGTGAATATCATGATACTTTAAGTCATGTGCAATATAATTATTTGATATGACAATCTGCTTTTAACTCTCGTCACACGCTATACAAAACAAATGAAACTATACGCGAAATATTTGTGTTTTGAAGACTTTATACAATCTTATTTCAGCCAAAAATAACCGTTCTGTTCCGTTTGGACCGTTCGTGTTTTTTTATTTAGGCTGTACCCGCGATGCACGATGGTACGATGGTGATAATGCGATGGTACGATGGTGAAAACTCGATGCATGGTACGATGGTGAAATTGCGATGTCGCGATAGTACGATGGTGAAAACGCGATGTTACATCGTGTTTTCACCATCGTACATTCGCGTTTTTACCATCGTACCATCGCGCCATCGTGTTTTCATCACCGTAACATCGCGTTTTCACCATCTTACCATCGAATTTTCACCATCGTGCCATTGCGTTTCCACCATCGTACCAGCGCGTTTTAACCATCGTACCATCGAATTTTCACCATCGTGCCATCGCGCTTTCACCATCGTACCATCGCGTTTTCACCATCGTACCATCGCGTTTTCACCATCGTACCATCGCGTTGTCATTATCGTGCCATCGCGCTTTCACAATCGTACCATCGCGCTTTCACCATCGTATCATCGTGTTTACACCATCGTACCATCGCGCTTTCACCATCGTACCATCCAGTTTTCACCATCGCGCCATCGTGTTTTCACCATCGTACCATCCCGTTTTCACCATCGTGCCATCGCGTTTCACCATCGTCCCATCGCTCTTTCACCATCGTCCCATCGCGTTTCATCATCATCTAGCTAGCACGTGTAGGCACGTGTAGGCTCTGTAAATCCGAATATAAAGGCTCGGAGCAACACTGTTTACTTAATTGTACCTTAAAGAAATACCTTCATTCAGCAAATACCGTCCATCGATGGTGAAAACACGATGGTACGATGGTGAACTGTTGTTACATTTACGAAATCCAAATAAATTTATGTAGCTATCGTTCGGAGAATGTTGAAATATTTTTCATATTCTGAAATGTTAACAGATAAGTTAGCCCCTTAATTATGTTTAATTATCTCAAAAAATTCATAAGACTCACCGCACCACTGTTTTGCCCGAGATCAATATAAAATATTCCTCCATACATATATACATGTCATTGTCATAATTTCGTCGTATTCTTTATTGAACTTGAAAAGTTAAAATCGTGATAAATTTTACCAAAATCCTTTATTTAAATACTGTTAAATTTAACTCGGTATTATTAGCGTACTCGGTATTATTAGCGTTAATGTGAGAAGCTATTCTTCCGTTTATAGACCTATATAAAGTAAAAGGCGCATGTTATTCCTAATGTTATATACACTTTTATATACAATTTAAGGTATCGATTTAAATTTACAATATATTGCTGATAAATTTCGAAATATATCAATGTATAATATTATCTTATGAAACACAGTTGTTTCGACATTATTTGCCATCTCATTAAATGTTTGAGTCATTATCAAATGTCACAGGTTTATATGTCCGATGCTAATAATGAAGAACAAAATGAAATGTGTATACTGATACTCTACGGTGTTAGCAATGGCACCTTTTCAGGATACTTCGTATACAATTTGAACTTGATTAATAACATTAACCCGACCATAAACACATAATGCTGTCCCAATCGTCTTACATCATGATAAATTGTAGTTAAACATGTCATTACACAAATACATTTAACTTATTTCTATTTAGTTTCATTAGTTATTGTATTCAGAAGACCTGTATTATTATGCTTGTGATATAACATAGTACAAAAATAACTTAATATGAACTAATGAACCAAATGATAACTTTGACATGCTGATTTATGTGTGTATTTGACTTAGTCTAGAAAAAAGGTTGAGTGATAATTTGTGCAAAAGTCTAGTGAAAGTGAATGATAATTTGTGCCTTAGTCTAGTAGTAAGGATGAGTGATAATTTGTAACTTAGTCTAGAGAAAAGGATGAGTGATAATTTGTGACTAAGTCTATGTAAAGGGAGGAGTGATAATTTGTGACTAAGTCTAGAAAAAAGGAGTGACTAAGTCTATGAAAAAGGATGAGTGATAATTTGGACTTAGTCTAGAGAAAAGGATGAGTGATAATTTGTGACTAAGTCTAGAAAAAAGGATTGAGTGATAATTTGTGACTAAGTCTAGAAAAAGGATGAGTGATAATTTGTGACTAAGTCTATGAAAAAGGCTGAGTGATAATTTGTGACATAGTCTAGAAAAAGGATGAGTGATAATTTGTGACTAAGTCTATGAAAAAGGATGAGTGATAATTTGTGACTAAGTCAATGAAAAAGGATGAGTGATAATTAGTGACTAAGTCTAGAAAAAGGATGAGTGATAATTTGTGACTAAGTCAATGAAAAAGGCTGAGTGATAATTTGTGACATAGTCTATGAAAAAGGCTGAGTGATAATTTGTGACATAGTCTAGAAAAAGGATGAGTGATAATTTGTGACTTAGTCTAGAAAAAGGATGAGTGATATTTTGTGACTAAGTCTATGAAAAAGGATGAGTGATAATTTGGACTTAGTCTGGAGAAAAGGATGAGTGATAATTTGTGACTAACTCTATGAAAAAGGATGAGTGATAATTTGTGACTAAGTCTAGAAAAAGGATGAGTAATAATTTGTGACTTAGTCTAGAAAAAGGCTGAGTGATAATTTGTGACTAAGTCTAGAAAAAGGATGAGTGATAATTTGTGACTAAGTCTAGAAAAAGGATGACTGATAATTTGTGACTTAGTCTATGAAAAAGGATGAGTGGTAATTTGGACTTAGTCTAGAGAAAAGGATGAGTGATAAATTGTGACTAACTCTAGAAAAAGGATGACTGATAATTTGTGACTAAGTCTATGAAAAAGGATGAGTGATAATTTGGACTTAGTCTAGAGAAAAGGATGAGTGATAATTTGTGACTAAGTCTAGAAAAAGGATGAGTGATAATTTTTGACTAAAAAGTCTATGAAAAAAGGCTGAGTGATAATTTGTGACATAGTCTAGAAAAAAGGATTGAGTGATAATTTGGACTTAGTCTAGAGAAAAGGATGAGTGATAATTTTTTACTAAGTCTATGAAAAAAGGCTGAGTGATAATTTGTGACATAGTCTAGAAAAAAGGATGACTGATAATTTGGACTTAGTCTAGAGAAAAGGATGAGTGATAATTTGTGACTAAGTCTAGAAAAAGGATGAGTGATAATTTGTGACATAGTCTAGAAAAAATGATGACTGATAATTTGTGACTTAGTTTAGTAGTAAGGCTAAGATATAATTTTTGACTTAGTCTAGAAAAAGGATGAGTGATAATTTGTGACATAGTCTAGAAAAAATGATGACTGATAATTTGTGACTTAGTTTAGTAGTAAGGCTAAGATATAATTTTTGACTTAGTCTAGAAAAAAGGATGAGTGATAATTTGTGAAACAGTCTAGAAAAAATGATGGGTGATAATTTTGTAACTTAGTCTAGAAAAAAATGATGAATGATAATTTGTGACTTAGTCTAGAAAAAATGATGAGTGATAATTTAGGACTTAGTCTAGAAAGAAGGATAAGTGATAATTTGTGACTAAGTCTAGTAGAAAGGATGAGAGATAATTTGTGACTAAGTATAGTAGGAGTGATAATTAGTGACTTAGTTTAGTAGAAAGGATGAGTGCTTACCATGCCCCTCAATTTTTCTCCGTCTCTGTAACGCTTTTCTCATCTTATTAAATTCTAATTCTTTACATTAATTTTGATCATTCTTAAATTCAGATATATGTTTAATCATAAACATTCTCATTATCAAACCATCCTTAATCAAATCAATAAAATATGTCCTATGTGTTAAATAAACTCTTTAGGACATACTGTGAGGCAAAATTAGCTAGAATATGTAATACAAGAATTGAATAACCTATAATTCGTGGTGTTTCTGAATGAAATGTATTTTATACATTGGGGAATCACAAGCATTATTTAAATTTGAAGTAGTGAAAAACGTACAATATGAATGAAAATTATCAATTTATCATTATCATCATCATCAACATCATCATCACCAACAGATACACAGAACTTTGCAATCATTGAGAAGTTATTGTAAACAGATTTCATCTCAACTAAGGATTTATGCTATATAGAGAATGAATATTTTTGGTACGTTACATGACCTTTAATATGTCAGTAACTTTTGCTCTTTGAGATTAAAACAATTAATCTATCAAGTAAATAATTGCTACTTATTACTACATTTGTAGTCAAACAGTAATTAGTAATAATTCCGGCAAATTGAGCAAGATCATTTATTCACACTAACTTTAACACACATATGCACTGCAATACATGAGTACTAGTTTTATACGTTTGGTCAGTATTAAAGAGACTGCACTGATCGAGGTTTTATGACAGACGAGACTGGAAATAATTTTCCGAGATTAATGTTCCATTTGATGTAGGTCTAGACCAATACCCTGTGTACAAAATTTCAAATCGTTCACTCACTCCGTTTTTTCCAAAATAATTATTCTTATCGCGAAAAAATGACCAAAATTTTAAAAGCGTTGCATCGCTTTTCACTAAAATATAGCTTATAATAGCACAAATAGAAGTTTCAATTTATTTATGAGTATATTTTGTAATTAACTATTGAATATCATTTCTTTCTAAATATCTCAACTGATGTTTGTAAGATTTTTTTTAAACTTTTGGATTTCAGTGGAGTTCTTTTAAAAATCGTATGCCAGGTTATTAAAAAACGAGTTATTCGATAAATTTGAGGAATTTTGCAGTAACTCTTTTATTTTTTATTCTAACTATTCTTGTGATTTTGTCACTACGCAAAGAGGAAAAATACCGGTAAAATTTGCAACATAAGGACAGTCATATGCCGTAAAGGACACTTGTATGCAAAATTTAAACAAAATTTACCATATGGTTTATGAGTTATCGACATTTTTCTGAATTAAAACTTATGCTTTTTTGTTGTTGTTTTTTTGTTTGTATATTTTGAAGGAACATACCTTGATGGAGTC